CTTAGGAGCCACGGAGAGAGGAAGATTTTGTTTTCTTTCAATGGCTTCCTTGTTGAAGTTCAGTCACTTGTCAAACAGGAAAACAAAAGCCAGGGCACGCTGTTATTTGTGGATCCTGGTAGTTGTGCAGAAATGCTGGGAGAGAACTGGAAAATGTTAGGTGTGAGCCTTCCAAGAGGACCTGTTAGAGGGGAACCCACTTATAATGACCTTGGATACAAAGAAGTCCTGTGTGTGGTGAATTTGTGCAGCAGGGTAGAGATAATAACTTCTGTGAGCCTATAATATAAGGAGGCTCTGCTAAAGCTCTGCATTGTGGAAAACAGTGTTGGCTGAATTAACCAAATCGGAAGGAATCTTGCACCAGGAAGCATTGATCTTGATAATCTAACAATTCGCACAGTCTCACTGATTTACAGGAAGGCGGGCATCAGAACATTGCTGTTTTTGCTCTGCAAATTCCTCCGTGGGACCAAAAATACATTTTTAGTATTTTAGATTACACTTAGCAATAATTTGGAGCACATAGTCCTTTAGTACTTATAAATTTTAAAAATTTGTTTTATTTCCTTTCTGGAAGTGATTCTGAGAAGATAAAATTTAGCATTATAACCAAGTGCGTTAGACATTTATTTTCAGTATATTTTACAATACACTAAGTAGATGTGATTGCAAAAGTCAAATTAAAAAAAAAGCATATGTTACCAAATTCTATTCAGAAGAGTTTGTATATCCTATTGTTGTTAATGTGAGATTCCCTTTGTATCCAGTTTCAGAATCTGAATGCTTCTCATGTAAAATTTGCTGATAAAGCACTCAAATATGAAATTATGATGCATACACATTTTTAAGATAAAGTGTGGCATGCTGTAAATTTCATCTTTGAGGAGAGCTGCAAAAGCAATGGTATTAAGATGCTTTTAATCTTTTGGGAGAGAACAAATGAAACATTATTTCTCTGCATATATCTAGACTGTCGAGTGGATCTGGTACACTGTCCCCTTTGCTGTGATATATTTGGCCTCATTTCATTTTTGTGCAAAGCAGAAGGATGTGGAAGGGGTGGTAGGAATGTGTAATTCAGGCAGACCCTGTAGTCTTTCTCAAATTTACGATCTGAAGGTTTGCTAAATAATGCATATAAGTGCTAATAATTGACTAAATATGGTAACTGCCTATTTGTTAGAGCTGTGGCAGCCAAGCAGTATTTTCAAGTCTTTTCAAGGACGTTCCTTATTAAAAATAGTGTTGCATTTGAAGCACTTGTGCTACCCAGCTGAATTACGTAAAACGTTTAGTGGACCGATAAAGCACTTTCATCTGATAAAACCTATCAAATCCTATTTAGTTTGATTTCTTTTTCTAACATATCCTAAATTCTATTTTAACATCCCTTTGATTGTGGGCAGAATTTAGGGAGGCAATCTAAAGGAAAGATAATTTATTGCCACAGATTTTGGTATTAATAGAAGTCAGGATTCCTTCCTCAGTTTTATTAATACCCACTATACCCATGAGCTGATTCTAAGAGAGCTTTTCAGCCTGGCGAGCTACATGGAAATAATTTCATTTCTTCCCTTTAGTACGCTTTTATCTGGTACATTTATGGGTAGTAGAATACACTTTGCCTTTGCTTTTATTTGCACAGAGCTGTCTGCAGTTACAGGCAGTTTTAATGTACAAAATAAAACATTGGTAGGGTCTCATTTATGGCACTGGTATCTCATTCAGTCCCCAGAGATTTATCCTTGAGATAATTTTAGAAATGAGAATAGAACCTGTATGTATGACTGGCAGAGCAAAGAAAATGGAACCTTTTGTTTGTTTGGTGTTTTGGGGAAACGTAAGCAAACACCAAGCCCTATTTTCAATTAAAAGGAATATTTTAATGTTTGCTCCCTGTCATGGTTAACTATAAAATGTTGGGGGAGAAGGAGGTATCCAGTTCAGCAGCAGGACTTGAGTTACACAGAAGGGAGTGGTGGGCAAGAGTAAGGGCAGGAAATGCCTTTTGGTGAAGGACTCTCAGTGTAGGGCTGAGGGGGTGTCTCTAAGTTGGTAGACATTTGGGACCCAGGGAAGGTGTTTTTTTTTTTCCCCCTTTTTTGTGCTAAAGTGCATTTGTGTGTTAGTCACTCAGTCGTGTCCAACTCTTTGTGACCCCACAGGCTCCTCTGGCCATGGGATTTCCCAGGCAAGCATACTGGAGTAGGTTGCCGTTCCTCCTCCAGGGGATCTTCCCCACCCAGGGATTGAACCCAGGTCTCTTGCATTGCAAGCTGATTCTTTACCACTGAGTCACCTGGGACGCTCGTTGTAAAGTACATCTAACACAAAATTTGCTGTTTTAACTATTTTTAAGTATGCAATTCAGTGATATTCATTACATTCATAATGTTCTGCAACCATCACCACTGTTTCCAGAACCTTTTCATCATCTCATCTAAAACTCTGTACCCACTAAACAGTTAGTCCACGTTCTCTTCTTCCCCCCATCCCCTGCCAACTTTGGTTCTACTTTCTATGAATTTGCCTGTTCTGTGTCCTTCATATAAATAGAACCATCCAATACTTGTCCTTTTCTGTCTGGCTTATTTTACTTAGTGTAATGTTCTCGAGGTTCACCCATGTTGTAGCGTGTATCAGAATTTCCTTCCTTTTAAAGGCCAAGTAATATTCCATCGTATGTATATACCACATTTTGTTTATCCATTCATCTTTTAATGGACATTTGGGTTTCCACTTCTGGTTATTGTGAATAATGCTGCTGTGAACATGGGTGTGCAAATACCTGTTTGAGTCATTGCTTTTTTTGTGTCTATACCTAGAAATGGATCTTCTGGATCTTCTGATATAGGGAAGGTTTTTGAACAGGGGAGGAACACAGTTAGAACTATGGTCTAGGAAGATGAGCTAGGTGGGCCCGGTAGGTCAGATAGATTCAGTGAGAGCAAGGGAGGAGCTATTCCAATGCTCCAGACATCCTCCAGGGGAGGAGAACAATAGAGTAATATCTCCCAAATATCAAGTTGAAGATGAATATTCTTGAGCAGAATTCATGGGAAAGAGTCTGCTCTGGAAGGTCAGCTATACCTATTCTTGGGCTCAAGAGAAAGAACCTACCATGAGCTTCCCTTGCTTCTCCTGATTTTCTTACTCTTACTTCCTGGTATAATCCTCTCAGTCTTGGACCATGACTGACTGCACGTTTCACCATAAGGAATGGTAGAATTATAGGGTGACCTGTGTGGCATGGCTTAATATTCATTTATCAGCTTCCCCTTCTATGTTAGGTACATACGGGATCGAAGTAGAAGTCAGTGTGCTTGATGCACAAACACAGTTTTCATATTACTCCACCAGTCACTGTGGCTGATTAAATTGCCATCTCTAGGCTCCTCTCATCAAAATTATGGAACCGCTCAACCACAGAGAAGTTTTCATCAGAACGGCACCCAGAAACTGCCGGAAGCGTGAGATGTTACCATTTCCACTGTATTGAGTCATGGAGTTACCACTTCCTGAGGGAGGCAGGACATAAGAAATATATTACAATAACAGACATTGCTCAGGGATAGACATACAAGAGCCAAAAGGGGCCTGGAATGAAGCGGCTGCTTCCTGGGAGGTGGTTGATAATGGAGAGGTTTAATTATAAGCCAGTCAAGCTGTTAGTGACCTACAGGAAGGTGGCAAAGCTAACAATCCCAGGAAAACCTCCCCAGGGAACCCAGGTATCTTATTGGCATGTTCAGTATTAGAAACGCATCTTCCACCATCAAGTCATTTCTTCAACTGCGTTTATCTTGGGTGGGGCAAGAAGAAATAGCGCTTGGAAAACTTAAATACGTCCCTGTGTCTTCAGAGGGGAGGGTGGAAGAAGGGCACAAACTCCTCCTTTTTAAAATCTTTTCATGAAGCAGTCACATCTCTAGTCATAGGAACTGATGGAATTCCCTTCTTTTCTGACTTGCATCATGTTGAAACAGATATAAATTACAGTCATTTTAGTAAGGAGCTGTGCTTGTAGATACCATCTGTGAAAGATATGGGCAGGTGAGTTAAGAACGCAACCTGTAGCTCCTTCATGTAGGCGGGCCTGGCTGGTTTACCCAGTAACACTCCCAGCATTCCCTACACTCCCAGCATTCCCTGCCTCAGGCCCAGGAGGAAGCCCAGGTGCACCCTAGTGTGGATAGGAGTGTTCTGCTTTGAGGAGCCCACTGTATCAGGTTTGACATACATACACCACCACGTGTGAAATCGCTAGTGCGAAGCTGCTCAGGGAGCTCAGCCCAGTGCCCTGTGATGACCTAGAGGGGTGGGATGGTGGGGGGAGCTCCGAGAGAGGGGGTGTATGTATGCATACAGCACACTCACATCATTATACAGCAGAAATGAACGCGGCATTGTGAAGCAGTTATACTCCAATTAAAGAAAAATCCCAGCTTGATTGGCAATAAATTTGTGAGATACGTTTTATAACATTTCTTCATACAAAGTTTGCCCCTTTTATTTTTTAGATATTTTAGTTTACAAAAGCCTCCTCTTTGGGTTAGAATTCCTTTAACTAGTTAAATCTATAGTCTCTCTTCCAATTTGGATTGAAAGTATGATTGAAGTGGATAGAAATGTGGGTTTTCCCACAGATTTATAATGTATCCAAATTATGAACCTGATCTGGAAAGGCCCTGTTTTCTTTTCTTGCCAGAACCTTATAGCACTCCCAGATCATACATTATAAAGCCCCCCAAAACTATCTGAAGAAATGGCTTTGTTCAGCAATGCTGATTCTATTTCAATAATAGTATTACTTAACAGTAACTATAAAATACTTCAATATAATAATACTAATAACCCAAGCTGTTAGACGTTCAGTAAAGGGCATCATTTTTGGTCCAGTAGAATATTTCTTTGTCCATCTAGCTGTTCTGGTGTCACTATGTGGTGGCTCTGGATTTATTGATGCTAAAGTGTGTATTCTGGATTTCTTCTCCTAGATTGGTCGATTGGTTATTGGACAGAATGGAATCCTCTCCACACCTGCTGTATCATGCATCATTAGAAAGATCAAAGCCATCGGTGGGATCATTCTGACAGCCAGCCACAACCCAGGAGGACCCAATGGAGATTTTGGAATCAAGTTCAATATTTCCAATGGAGGTGAGTTTACTGTCATTTTGAGTACAGCCAATGTTACGTTCTTTAGGACAAACCGATAACCTAGGCCTTGGAAGGTCAGGATTCTGGTTCTCATCCTTAGCAAGAGAGCTTTTTGTTTCCTTTTGGTGAAAATGAGATGCTTCTCATTTTGCCATACCTGAATATGAGATGCTCTGCATGAATGATCATTAACATATATTCTTTTAGAAAATTCTGATACTTTGCTGCCTGAATGATGGCATGGCAGATGCACTCGTGAAGAGGAATTAGTTGATGAGCTTTGTGTCCTTTGTATTTTCATGTCAGCTATACAAAATGACCTACTGTTTGCTGTTCGATTTCCAGGTCCTGCCCCGGAAGCAATAACTGATAAAATTTTCCAAATCAGCAAGACAATCGAAGAATATGCAATTTGCCCTGACCTGCACGTAGACCTTGGGGTTCTGGGAAAGCAGCAGTTTGACCTGGAAAACAAGTTCAAACCCTTCACAGGCATGTTTACTCTCCTGCTCTCTTGCCCACTTCTAGTTCCAACTTGGAGGATTTGCCTTTCAAGGTTTTAATAAAGTGGGTCTTTATCTCTGGAAAGATTGTGGTCACCAAGCTTTGCATGCATAAATTAGCAGGTCTGGAATTGTGTCTAGGAGTCTAGAGACCTGGGCTGTCTGAGCTCTGCTGGGGATCAGCTGAGGGACCTTGGGTGAGTCAATTATATATAAATCTCTCAGCTTCAGTTTTCATACCTATGAAATGTACAGTCTTGGCGAGAAGACCTGTGACATCATGTTCATAGCTGTCTTTTATTGAGCTTTTATTATGTGCCAGGCTCTTCAGATGCATTATCTCATTTGATTCTTACATTAGCCCTGTGAGGGCAGCACTATTACTATTCACTTTTTCCAGATGAGGAAACAAAGGCAGAGAGAACTTAAGTAACAGGCTGAGCGTCACATAGTCAGTGAGTGGTAAACCAGGATTCAAATGCAGGTGTGAATGATTCCAAAGCCTGGGCCTTGATTTCATTTTCAGTAAAATCAATGTAGACCATTTTGGGGGCTAAATTTAAACTCCCTGTGTAGCAGCTGTGCTAAACATTTTATTGTTGAATGCTAATGTATGATAATAATTGATGAAATAAATGTTTATAAAGTTATTCATATTAATACAACGAGGATGAGATGGTTAGCAGTGTGACTTGTATTTCGACTTTGCTCTTACATGTATTCTTTCATCTGGACTGCAAATTTGTGGGATGCATTTTGTGTTTGAACCTACCGAGAAGGATTGACAATTGCATCCCAAGGAAGAGGAAGGGGTTCTTTGGTATATCCTGAAGACGTTCTTAGGGTTTAGAAAATACAAGTAGAGAATTTCTCAAACAGTTCATGTTTTGAAAATGTTCAGACCCCTGAAAATTCAACAAGACAGTTCTTATGTTTGTTTTATTCCTTTAGCAGTGCACGTGAAAAGTGATTCATTAAAAAAAAATTTTCTCTGCTTTTTACCAGTAAGTCTTAATGGCAATGGGCCTGGAAAAAGTAAAGTAGGTGTTACCTTTTCTGTTATTTTTTGACACTAAGATACACTTCCTGGAGATGAATCAACATGGCCGTAGAGCCGTTTACCATCAGGCAAACCTCTGTCAAAATTCCTCAGGGTACCACATCCCAGCTGTGTGGGCAAGTTACTTCATCTTTCAGAACTTGAACTTGCTCGTCTATAAAAGAGAACTGATAACATTTACCTCTCAGGAAATTTGCGTTAGTTTTGAATAAGAGATCATGTAACAGCCCAGGCACATTGGAGCTGCTCCATAAATGTCCTTTTAAAGTAGCAATTGCATGTTTACAGCCGTATGATCATTTCAGAGGATAATATTTCTAAAAGTGTTTAGTTCCTTCATCTTTTAATGTTGCTTGTTCTCACAGTGGAAATTGTGGATTCAGTGGAAGCTTATGCTACGATGCTGAGAAACATCTTTGATTTCAATGCACTGAAAGAACTGCTTTCTGGTCCAAACCGACTAAAGATCCGTATAGATGCCATGCATGGAGGTATGGAGCCCTTTTTCTTCTCTTCTCTTCTCTCAAAGCTATGAAACAGCTCTCGACTTTGTGTATCATGATGCCTTAACAAGCCTTTTCTTAAGGCTGTCTCTGGCAATGTTTACACCATTACTTTGCAATCATTTCAGAGTAATATTCACACAGATAAAATCTTAACTGTATGCTGCAAAAATTCCTCATGGTAAGGTAGTGTGACGGTCACTGTTTCCACATTAAGCATCAGGTTTTGAGTAACATGCAGCTATTTTTGTGGACTCTCCCTCCCCCTCAGAAGATGCCTTAGATTCTTCCTGAACGCCCCCATCTATTCCCAAGGGGAGCCATGGTTTGCTAGATCTGATGATGTGCTCCTGAGCCCCATACCCCAGTTTCCTGTTCCCACATGCACCTTTTCTTAGAAGCTGGCCAGAACAAGCTGAGGGTTCAAGTCAGGAGCAACAGGATGTATTTCTCTCCCTCTTCTTCCTCTGTGGGTTTTGTGGCCAGATCAGTAGAGGTGGCAGCTGTCACCGAATCAGAGCCGTGAGGTTCTCTTGATGTAGGAATATGGGAATTCCTGAGCCCTTGGCTTGTCTATTTGTTTCGTAATAATTTAGAAGTTTAGGATCTTTTTCTTAAAAAATATATTTATTTATTTATTATTTTTGGCTGCATTAGGTCTTAGTTGCAGCACGTCAGATCTTTCCCTATGGCTTGCAGGTTTCTCTCTAGTCGTGGTGGGAGGCTCTCTAGTTGAGGTGTGTGGGCTCAGTAGTTATGGCATGTGGGCTTAGTTGCCCCGCCACATGAGGGATCCTGGTTCCTCGACCAGGGATCAAACCCACGTCCCCTGCATTGGAAGGTGAATTCTTAACCACTGGACCACGAGGGATGTCCCTAGAATTTCAGAATCTTTGAGTGGCAACGATTTTCCCTGGTGCTGAAATCCATCTGCCTGCCTAGCTGGGGAAGACTTTCTGCCTGTGCTGGCACTCTTCCTATGATACTGTCCAGGTCCTTTTGTCACACTGCAAAGTCTGTTAGAAAACTTCTCCTGGTGGCCTGAAATGGTCTGTCTCTGGAACTTCTTCCCTTGGGTCCTAACTTTCCTCTGGAATCTCACAGAATGGTTCTCCTTCTTTATTCAGACAAAGGCCATTCTGACTTTTCAAAACATTCAGCAACCATGTGTTGAATAGCTACTACGTGTATGCTTGGGGGTGTGGGTGTAGTCAGGGATTCTGTAGACTCTTCCTTCAAAGAGCTTGTGATGCTTGGGGAGAAGAAGTGGGTAAGAAACCAACTCCTGCCAGGCCAACAAAATGAGGGTTAGATAAAATTTCAAGTATTCTCCTTGGGGCGTGGAGGAAGGCATAGTTTGACTGAAGGTATCAAGAGAGGTTTTCTGGAAGAAGTGGCAACCAACTCAAGCTTTTATGAAAGAAAGATGTAAGGTGGTGGAAACTCCAGTGATGGTTATACCAGCTGAGGCAGTGGCTGCAGCCAATGCATAAAGGATGAAAAGGAGATGTCACATTAGGGGAATGAGCAAAAGCCTTGGCTGGCTCGAGTATGGGGTTTGTGATGGTGTATTTACTAGGAGAAGCTGGTCACCAAGCTGACTTCTTTCTCCAAGCCTTTCAGTTGTTCCTCAAGAGCCTCAGTTTCCTCACAACTCTGGCTGCCTTGTCCTCATTCTGAGGTGTGTCAGTAGCCTCCTTAGCATGCCCCCAGTGGGAGACACGTGTTTTATACTGTCCTGACCTCTGTCTCACACATTGGTGTTGGCACCTTCCTTGGTCGAAAGCATTTAGAGATGAACATTCTTGACTGTACCACTAAGTGTCACTGTAAAGTATGTGACTGGTTTGCCCTGTTGTGTGTTGTTACTGTGTTTCTGTTTCTCTGTATTCTTTTAATCAGTTTGTCAGATAGCTTGATAGAGGAGAAAGATTAGGACTCTGAATCCGAGCTCTCACTCCTACTATCTGTGTAAGTTTGGGCAAATAGCTTCCTCTCAGAACCTCAGTTTTCTTATCATAAATTGGAGGTGGTAATCATAATGCACAAGCCTTTATAAAATATGGGCTCTTGCTTGTTCTCGGTGCCTCATCTATTAATTCATTTAACTATCACATCTACCCTGTAAAGGCAGCTACTATTATTATCCTCATTTTGCAGTTGGCATAGATGGAGGCACAGCAGAGAGATTAAATAGCTTAAATAACTTTCCGCAAAATGGTACAGCCAATGATTGACAGCTAAGATCTGAACCCAGACACTCTGATTCCAGAGTCCAGGTTCTTAAAGCCCTAAGTTGTAGCTCCTCATGGGCCTTTTTGAAGGACTGAGAAAATGTTTAAGAAGCACCTGTGTAGCAGGATCTTCATAAAGGTTCACTTCCTTCCCTTCCCCCACTCTTTCCTAATCTCTCATTATTCCTACTTGTAGAACTTTCTACTCCAGACTCATCTGCCCACAAGCCCTTGAATACAATTTGCACACTCTCTTTGCCGTTCGTGCCATTCTCCCTAGATCGCCTCTACCTTGTCCCCAGTCCTCACCTTCTGTAATAAGTTTCATTTCTGGTTCTTCATTTCATGCTCTGCGTAGTCGTGGGACCATATGTGAAAAAAATCCTCTGTGAAGAACTCAGCGCCCCCGCGAACTCGGCAGTGAACTGCGTTCCCCTGGAGGACTTTGGAGGCCACCACCCTGACCCCAACCTCACCTACGCGGCTGACCTGGTGGAGACTATGAAGACAGGAGAGCATGATTTTGGGGCTGCCTTTGATGGAGATGGGGTGGGTACAAGTGCATTTATGTGAACTCTGATGCAGGCCAGGGCTAATGTGCTAAATGGGGGAAAAGCAGGCCCTGCAGCCTGGAGTGTAGTCAAGCTCCCTTATTGCACCTGGAGTCAGGGCTCAATTATTAGAAGACCCTCTTGACAGAATGACTTGAAGTGGAACCATGTGTCTAGTGTTTGCTGAGAAGGGCAGGGTGATTGGGGCCTGGTTATCATGTCATGACTGGTGTTCCATGAGCTGACTAGGTTCTTGATCTCCACCCTTAGGTAGATTTTTGCTCATAGCCGGCAGCTGGATCCTTGTTCAGTCTCTGGAAAGAGTTTTGTCCTTATGATATACCCATGTGTTCATTCACAGTAGCTGAAAGATGAAACTATAATGAGAGAACTAACAGTTTATTCTTTAGCTACAGTTAATATTTGAAATAAACATGCTCTTTTATTTGCACTGGTGAATATGTAGCAGACAAGGAGTGACAGTGTCTTAGGTTTATACACTTGGTGTCTTAGAGATAGTAAACACTACACATATTTACTTGGTTAAAGATATATTTTGGTGGTTGCTATTGTTCTTTACAGACATCAGCTGGAATTCATTGTTTCCTATAAAATGGGTTTTCCAATATTAATATTTGGGGAAATTAAATAGCAGAGATTGGGACATCCCCTGGTGGCTCAGTTGGTAAAGAATCCACCTGCCAGTGTAGTCTCGATGTAGGTTTAATCCCTGAGTAGGGAAGATCCCCTAGAGAAGGGAATAGCAACCCACTCCAGTATTCTTGCCTGGGAAATCCCATGGACAGAGGAGCCTGGTGGGCTACAGTCCATGGTGTCTCAAAAGAGTCAGACATGACTTAGTCACTAAACAAATGCACAAGCAGACATTATTCTCAGTGCATCTTTCTGTTGCCGTGCATCCTGGGTTTCCTCTTTATTCTCAGTTACTTGAGTACTTCCTGGATATCAGGCACCAGGAGAACAGTGAGGTGACAGCGTATTTTGTTGGGTCCTGCACCAGATGGAGGTGCCAAGATTTAGGAGCCTTTCCTTGCGGAAGTCTGCTTTGTTCCTTGGAGAATGCCTGGTAGACATAGCAAGCTTTAAGCAGCCCACATTTCCTCTCACTGTGATCTCTGCCCTCTTCTGGGAAAGAAGAGAGGTGATTGGTCCCAGAGTTTGGAGAAGGTCAGGGAGGTTACGTTCAGCTGGCATCTGCAGGGAGAACAGAGAATTCAGCCGAGAAGGAATTTGCACTTTAACTCAAAACAGTTCTAGCTGTTTGGCACGGAGGTGCCATTGGCCCAGTGGTACTGTACGGATCAATTAGAAATAAAGTCCAGTGTCTAGAACCCAGGATGAATCAATGTATCAGCTTTAAATTTTACAAAACCTCCATGTAAGAGAGTTTGGTTTCTTCAGCACTTTGATGAAAAGATCTCCCTTTGAATCCCCCTTCTCCCAAAGGACCGGAACATGATTCTGGGCAAGCACGGGTTCTTCGTGAACCCTTCAGACTCTGTGGCTGTCATCGCTGCCAACATCTTCAGCATTCCGTACTTCCAGCAGACTGGGGTCCGTGGCTTCGCACGCAGCATGCCCACCAGTGGCGCCCTGGACCGGTAGGTCTCTCCACCCCCTTGGTTCCCAAGCAGACCCTCACAACGCCGGGAGCACCCTCCCTCCCCTTTCAGCTCAGACATCTGATGCATACATAGTGTGTGTTACCTAAGTGTTTCCTTTATGAAGGAATGCTGTCATTTTTCCTGGACTGGATGGGCCCCGCTCTGCTGCTTTAGCACTCTGCATTTCTCCCATCCTGGCTCTTCTCACGCTGTGTGCTGATAGTCTGTGTGCTTGACTATCTCAAAACTAATAGAGAAAGAATGTCTTTGTCACTGTGCTAAACTCTGACTGATCATGGCGTACCTGATACACACACACACACACACACACGCGCCTCATTTTAAAAAATAAATGATTGAATGTTAATGGATAAGTGAATGGATGGCACATCTGCTGTAGTCAAGACGTCATTCTAGAGACTCACTTTCTCTGGGCAGTGTGCACAGAGTTGGGATGAAAGACTGATGTAAGATCAGTGTTTCAACAGAACTTTCAAAAAAACGTTCCGCATCCAGCCCCCATCAGATGCCCTTACACACAAGCATAGTAAATGTTCACTTATTCAAAATCTGAATAAACCTAAAGCTAAAATAGTTTAAAAAATACGTTCAGTTTTGGAGAAACAAGGGACCCAGTGACAGTAAACAGTTGGTATCTTTGACTTGCTTATTTATTATATATCATCTTATTTGAAAAGGCTTTATATTAGCTTATGAGATCACATTTAAAACATCTGAAAAATGGAAGTCATAAATGAGTACAAACCAGGGATATTGACTACATCATGTTAGGTGTCCAATAAATAGTTCCTGGATGAATGGGTAAAGGACAAGTGAATGAATGAAAGGCTGAGGCTAGGGAGGAAGAACAATGTATATACCTGGTTCTTATAATCAAAACTATTACTTATTAAACATTACCTTATGCTAGACAGTAAGCATGTATTTTAAGTCATTTAATTCTCAGACTGGCCCCATGAAGTAAATGCTGTATTTAACTCCTCTTTACAGATGGGAAAACAAAAGAAAAAGAAGTTAACTAATTTGCCCGAGGTCACCCAGCTAGTAAATGATGGAGCCGGACTTGAACCCAGAACCTTTGCTCCCAAACACTGGGATGTGCAGTGCAGTAGTTTTCTGTTGTGTGTGTGTGTGTTATAGAACTAGTGCTGACTTCACTTCAGCTAACAAAGTAATGACTAATATCATATAGTAATTTGTAGTTGACACTGTTTTTTTTTACATTCACTGTCTCAACTGATCCTCATGGCAGTCCTTATTTTATTTTTTTACTTGTTTTGGAGTATAGTTGATTTACAATGTTGTGTTAGATTCTGCTTTACAGCAAAATGAATTGGCTATAATTAGATATCGCCAGTCTTTTTTAGATTCTTTTTCCATAAAGGTTATCACAGAGTATTGAGGAGAGTTCTCTGTACTACAGAGTAAGTCCTTATGAGTTATCTATTTTATATATAGTAGTGCGTATATGTCAGTTACAATCTCCCAGTTTATCCCTCCCCAACTCTTCCCCCCCTCGGTAACCATAAGTTTGTTTTCCCATCTGTGACTCTATTTCTGTTTTGTAAATAAGTTCATTTGTACTATTTTTTTTTTTAAAGATTCTACGTGTAAGTGATATCATATGATACTTGTATTTCTCTGTCTGACTGACTTCACTCAGTATGACTATCTCTAGGCCCATCCATATTACTGCAAATGGCATTATTTTGTTCTTTTTAATGGCTGAGTAATATTCCATTTATATGGTATTTGTACCACATCTTCTTTATCCATTCATCTGTCAGCCAGAAGAGTAGTTAGCAGCCTTTCCCAGGACTCCACAGCTACATCAGAGCTAGAATTAGACCCTGGTTGTTCTGCCTCCATATCCTCCCTCCAAAGCTGTGAGCTGGTTCGTGGCCACACTATTGTCCATTAGACTGATCAGGTCCTGAAATAGCTTCTGTGTGCTCCAGAAACAGTCTAATTCCAATTTCTGTGGATTATATGTGATAATCCACATATAGAATCACAGTGGAAAATACTTCACTACCCAGAAAGCAACTTTATTTTATTTTCACAGTTTTAAAAATCATAATTTAATTTTCCTCAAGTATTAGAATTGAAATATGATATTGTTTTGCTAGTGATAAGCATTTTGGGAAGCAAATCTCACTAAAAGGGTGAATGAAATGTAGGTAACGTCCTGTTCAAAGGGAAAGGAATCTAAAAAAAGGTCACTCAAAAGTTTTAAATAGACTAAGGATAATATGGGGAGAAGTAAAAGATGTGTTGCAGGGGACGGGGGACAGCCATCCTGGCTGTGTGACCTTGGACTGAGTTACATAGCATTCTGGGTCCCTGTTTCTTTCTCTGTGAAATACTGACCTCCCAGACCCAATACCTTCTGGCTCTATAATTATAGGTGCATCGAAATATCATTCTTCTGTTCATTGTGGAATGGTTATAAATGCTGTCTGTATCCAAAACACATGGGTTTAAATAGCCCCCCAAACAGTTTTGTCCATTTTGCCACTGTTATTTCTTCTAAAATATTAAATTCAGTGACCTGAATTAATTCTTTCTTCATACTCTTCTCCCCCTCCTCTGACTCCACATATAATAGCCCATTGTGCACAAGTTTTCTCATATGATTTTCCACCAATCTTAGAATTATGTGTACCTCTGAGCAATGCTAAGTGGAACCCTTGATTACAATAACGGTTGCTATTTTCCATCCCTCACATGGTTACACTAACAGTCCTGCTGTGATGTAACTTTGATTTCATGCCTTTGAAGGGTGGCTAATGCTACAAAGATCGCTTTGTATGAGACCCCAACTGGCTGGAAGTTTTTTGGGAATCTGATGGATGCGAGCAAACTGTCCCTTTGTGGGGAGGAGAGCTTTGGGACTGGTAAGTATGCAGCCCTGAGCTGTTTTTTCCCGTGTAAAGGCTGCTTGCAGTGAAAGCTTAGATTGCTAAAGCAGCACTGAAATAGCAACGGTAGCTGATATGTCCTAAATCAAGATACAGCTTATTTATAACAACGCTGATGGAGTGTACACATTTGAAAAGCAGCGAGCATGTTCCGCCGGGGAGGGTTAATTTTACTTTCAGAGGATCACATCTACCAAGGCAGGAAGTTTGGGCAGCGTGGCCATTGAGTCTGTGGGGATTAAATAGAATGATAAACACATTTTTCTCCCCTCAGTGGTCAAGGAAACCTTTATAAATGTTTTTATTTCTAGGAAGAAATATGGTGGAGTGGAGTCAGTTTTTCGTTTTTATTTAAGAGAAGTTTTCACCACAGTGTTAAATCTTCTTCTTTAATAGGCATATGTTTTCTGTAGCAACAGGTTGTAATTTATTAAAGTTATGTGGAGGGAAACCATTAGGGTGGAACTGAGTTGCTAGGTAATCAAGAAATTGACCGTGAAGATCTATATGTAAATTGTGGTGCAATGAAAGAGTAGAACATGGTATGCTTAGGGGAATGTCCCACGATCCTTAGACCCCACTTTCCATGTTCTCCCTTCGTTTTTGTAAGTTTTTAAAAGTTTAATTTATTTTTAATTAGAGGGTAATTGCTTTCAGTGTTGTATTGGTTTCTGCCATACAACGCATGCTTTCCCTCTTCTATGCCTTTCCAGTACTGACTTGAAGCCCCACTTCCATGACCTTCCCAATGACCCCATCCTACATCAGTCTCTCTCTTTTCTAAACATTCATTCAGGCTTGTGGCCCTTTCCCCAGGGTTGTCTCCAGAAGCCAGGTTACAAAGTACTTCAGTGGCCATATTTCCTCTCCTCCTATTGCCTCTACCCAATATTTTGAAGTAAAAGAACCAATCTTCTTGATCCTCAGTACTATTCTTCCATCCTTTGTCAAAGAAAAAATCAAAATCTATCAGCTTTGGCATTGACTTGCAATTCATGCTGGTTAAACAGAATAAAAGGCAGATTTCTTTTCCTATAAATCCTAGGGTGGGGTGGATGTTGTTGTTGTTCAGTTGCCCAGTCGTGTCCAACTCTTTGTGACCCCATGGACTGCAAGATGCCAGGCTTCCCTGTCCCTAACCATCTCCCAGAGTTTGCCCAAGTTCATGTTCGTTGCAGCGGTGATACCATCCAGCCATCTCATTCTCTGATACCCTCTTCTCCTTCTGCCCTCGATCTTTCCCAACATCAGGGACTTTTCCAATGAGTCATCTGTTTGCATCAGATGACCAAAATACTAGAGCTTCAGCTTCAGCATCAGTCCTTCCAGTGAATATTCAGGGTTGATCTCCCTTAAGATTGACTGGTTTGATCTCCTTGCTGTCCAAGGGACTTTCAGGAGTCTTCTCCAGCACCATAGTTTGAAGGCATCAATTCTTTGGCATTCTGCCTTATTTGACTCTCACAACCATACGTGACTACTGGGAAGACCATAGCCTTGACTATACAGATCTTTGTTGGCAGAGTAATATCTCTGCTTTTCAACACACTGTCTAGGTTTGTCATTGCTTTCCTGCCAAGGAGCAAACAGCTTCTGATTTCATGGTTGCAGTCACTGTCAGCAGTGATTTTGGAGCCCAAGAAAAGGAAATCTGTCACTACTTCTACCTTTGCCCCTTCTGTTTGCCATGCAGTAATGAGCCTGGTTGCCACAGTTTTAGATTTTTTAATATTTAGTCTTAAGCTGTCTCTTTGACTCTTCTCCTTCACCCTGATCAAGAGGCTCTTTAGTTTCCTCTTTGCTTTCTGCCTTTAGAGTGGTATCATCCGCATATCTGAGGTTGTTGATGTTTCTCCCACCTATCCTGATTCCAGCTTGTAACTCATCCAGCCTGGTATTTCTTATGATATGCTCAGTGTATAGGTTAAATAAACAGGGTGACAGCAGACAGCCCTGCTTTCTCGATCTTGAACCAATCAATTGTTCCATACAGTGTTCTAACTGTTGATTCTTGACCTGCATACAGGTTTCTTAGGAGACAGGTAATATGGTCTGATACTACCATCTCTTAAAGAGCTTTCCACAGTCTGTCATAATGTACAGAGTCAAAAACTTTAGCGTAGTCAGTGAAACAGAGATAGATGTTTTTCTGAAATCCCCTTGCTTTTTCTATATAATCCTTCAAATGTTAGTAATTTGATCTCTAGTTCCTCTTTCTTTTCTAAACCCAGCTTGTACATCTGGAAGTTCTTGGTTCACATAATGCTGAAGCCTAGCATGCAAGATTTTAAGCATGACCTTGCTAGCATGGGAGATGAGTGCAGTTGTCCAGTGGTTAGCACGCTCTGGTACTACCTTTCTTGGGAACTGGGATGAGAATTGACGTTCTTCAGTCCTGTGGCCTCTGCAGGATCTTCCTGATTTGCTGACATAATGAATGCAAAACCTTGATGGCATCCTCTTTTAGGGATTTGAATAGTTCTGTTGGAATTTCATCACATTCACTAGCTTTATTAACAGCAGTGCTTCTTAAGGCCCTGTTGACTTCACACTTCAGAATGTCTGGCTCTGGGTGACTAACCACACCATCTTAGTAATCTGGTTCATTAAAAATTATTTTTATACAGTTCTTCCAGGTATTCTTTCCATCTCTTCAGCATCTGCTGGAGGAGGAAATGGCAAACCACCCCAGTATACTTGCCATGAGAACCTCATGAACTGTATAAAAGGGGTGGGTAGAATGGGCTAATAAATTTGAGGTGCCCAGTGACAAAATTCTAAGCAATTTAATACCCTTGAGGAAGTGATGTTACTTCTAGGTAATAAATTGGCTTATGGAATTGGAGGGTATTAAGAATGAGTTTGGAGGTTGAACAATGTCTACGAAAAAGGCTACATGATTTCCCAAGGCCTAGGTCTTTGGTCAGAGATATCAAGGCTACTGCTTAGTTCTTTCCTGCCTCATAAAATATGAATGGTACCATATTACTCCATGGGATACTAGATGACTACCCATTGGACCGTAAGGTGGTCTTTGCCCATGAAATCCCCCCAGTGTTATCCAGTGCAGGCTTGGTATCAGTCATTCTTCCCTATGGGTGAAGCTGTCATTGAAGGCAGGTACCGTGTCTAAACCTTTGGTTTCCTGACTCCATGTACTTACTTCAGTGCTGAACCTAATGAAAAGAGAAGAGTCTAGAACAAGGTCTTCCTGGGTGTTTGGATGTGTGGAAAGATACTTGTTCCATGAGTGTGAGTTCCATGAAGATCAGAAAACTTGAAATATACCTCTCTGTCTCGGACATTCATGATGATATTATCGTTTGAAGATTCCAAAACATTCTGCCATAATAAATCCAGTTTGCACAGTTTTATGTAAACTTAGTTAACTGCAATATCTATTTTTTGTGGTATATTTAGTAACACATTGCCCCTCAGACCCATGTGGATAGCGTTGGGCAAGGCGAATCAGAGTCCTAGAGCCAAGTAACCATCCAGGTATTGACTGGCTGGGAACAGGATTGAAGACAGGATGCACAAGCTGCTCTTGCCTCGCATGACAGGCCTTCAGATACCAGAGGGCAGTTCTCAGGTCCTCTCTTCTGACCACCCCATGCCTGGTCCTCCGGTCATCCCTTACTTCATATTGTTTATATACCTAGCACTGGTTTCTAAATGCTTCTTCATTCACCAGTGCCCCTCATAGAAGATCATGTCTCGAACTGAGCCCAAATCCTCCAGGGCTGACTTGACAAGTAGAGAGTAGATGGATGACTATTTTTCTAGAGAACTGGACCCTGTACATTTCTTGATATGACTTTCATTTATGGTTAGCTTTTTGGACATTTCATAATACTGTTTAGCTCATTTAATGTTGTAGATAATTATACCCCTTTAAGCTTTTACTCAGGAGCATTTGCCAAGAAGAGTCCCCAGATTACATTTGTGGAACTGATTTCTTTGAACCCAGGCATTAGGCTTTAAATTATTCCTTGTTAAGGCTTGTTCTTGTTTATTTATTTATTAACCCATCATCAAATACTAAGTGCCAACCATGGTTTTATCTTCCCTTTGATATCTTTTATATCAAAAGAAAGGATTCATCCTGAGAAAAATCCACAAACTTGTTCTCTCTCTCTTTGAAAAAAAAGACAACTGTTCCATAATATTTATGAGAAAAACATTTGCAAAGCCAGGCTCATAGCCATGGATCACCACTGCTGAGTGAGCGCAGCTGAACTTACTTAACTGAACTCCTGATCTTCTTGTTTGGAGACGAGTTAGGTCCTACCTGCTATGTCCCTTGTTGGAAAATATTTCCAACAGTTCCTTTACAGAGCTTCTCAGGATGGGCATTAGTGATCCTACAGGCTTTGAAATATTTGAATTCTATAGCTTAATTAAGTGCCGGTTCATTTATTTATGTGTTTTTCTAAGTTGGAGTAGAGGCAATTTCTCAGGAAAGCCTCCCTAACTTTCCAGAGTGGGTCAAACCCCCTTATTATTGGATCTCACAGCACCACATACCTCTCCTTCCTCACACATAATACAGCGGTAATTTTACAAGTATTTATAATTATTCAATTAATGTCTGTTGGTTCCACTATACTGTAAGCTCCATGAGGACAGGACGTCATATTTGTCTTGTTCTCCATCATATCCTCAGAGCCTGGTATAAATCCCAGAATATAATAGGTGTTCAGCAAACACTTGTTGAATGAATGAAAGAACACACTCTTCACTTGGCACCCTCCATTCAGACAAACCAGAGTGTTGGTGTTGGAAAGGAAAGGACTTTAAACATTATCCAATGTAGTTTTCTGTGTTTTGCTGGAGTCATGGGTGTCTAGTCCGTGCTCTTCTGCTTAAACACTCACCTCTGGCAGAATCTGGGACTCTTGCTGGGACTCAGCACCACTCTATTCCATAGTGCAGAGCTGAGGACCCACGGTCTTTGTGAGGCAAGATGACCTTTT